CTAAATTAAGTCTCTCATGTCACTGAATTGTTTGAAGTTGCACTTGCTTTGCTTTCTCAAATGGTTCTTTATTTGGGGTTACTCCAGCTCTACAGTACATGAGAAAATGAATATCCGTAATTTGCCTTTAAAAAATAGAGAAATGTTCTTTGTGTTAAAGTACTAAGTAGGAAAAAAACCCTGCTCACCAATCCTTCCTTCCAAGCTGCCTATAGGTACATCGCCATACCTCATTTCTACCTGGAGATATGTGATTCCTAAGCAGAACCTCAGGAAAGAGGAAACAGCTGTGCACCTCAAATATGAGCACATTTTCAATGGTTCTGGAGTAATAGCCTGTCAAACAAAGTTTAACACAATGTAGCAATTATTCACTTGTTAAGTAATCAATTATTGATTAACTGCTTGGTGCAAGACACTTTCTTGTCCCTGCTTGCAACCCCATATGTGAACATCGGCCCCACTGTCTCTCTACTGTATGGCAAACCCTGACTCTAGAAGGCCTTTCTTCCCAGATGCCAGGGTAATTCTTAATTAAAGGAGATAAGAAAGTTTTTCTTTGGGTGCCTCAATTATACCAACAGAGCTGGTCATAGTCCAGCACCTACACAGATTCCCCCATCCCAGCTTCCTCTGACATGAACTCTTCCATGTATAGATTGGGGAGCCCTAACCCCAGATTGCCCCTGGGTTAACTCAGGAAAGAAAATATCCTATCCCTAAATGAAGACCAATTAATTTTTTATAAATTTCCTTGCAACTTTTAAACAACTCCGTTCACTTGTATTGCCCTAACATAACTTCCTCTCCTGGGATGTGTCAGCAAGCTCATTACTAAGAAATGCTGGCATCATCCACACCATAGGCTTGTGACTTCAGCACCTCCGCTTCCATGAGCAAACCTCAGCTGTTCTGAAGTGAAACCATATTTCACCTCTCCCAAGAGGCCAGATCCAAACAATACTGCAAACTTCAGAGGGGTGGAGACGTGTGGAAAAAGAAGGAAGCCCCGTCACTGGAGCAGAAGAGTAGCCTCAAGTTCTCTGCCATGGAGAGAGGTACACAGCCAGATTTATTCTGACACTCCCAGGCCAGAAGTGCAGCATGGTTCACACATGCAATGAGTTCAGTATGTGCCTTGGTTGAGGGTGGGAATGGGTGTGCTCACACGTGCAGCCACTGAAGCCTGAGCTGTGCTCAGTGAGCTGAGAGGGGAACTGAGGTCTAACAGGACCCATTAATTCGTGCGATCACTGTCCTAGCTGGCTGCCTGGATCAAATTCACAGCAGGGTGGCCTCACAGCCCCTGGTGCTATAATTAGGGTGGAGACCACAAAAAGTTTTAATTGCTAGTAATACAAATGGAACAAAATTTTCAAATGCTCTTTCCTCCCCAGCTGCACACCCACTCCCCACCCTATGTCTTTAATCTGTGATTGAAAGGATATTAAGATCTCGGGTGTATCTACAGTCCAGAGGACAAGAAGAAATACCCCGCAGTGTGAAACACTGTGTCTCAAGAAAGGCAACCGGAGAGGTGACTGGAAATTCACTACAGCTACTTTGCTCCCTCTCTGCCCTCTCCGCCCTCAGGAATTCCCTTGTAAAAAGTGAAAAAGATGATGGTTTTACGTGTTATGTTTTTACTGGAAATGGAGGGAGTTTTATCAATTGGGGCCTTTTAGCATGAACCCCCTGTGTACCTGAAGTAGGAGTTGACCCTCCATCACCCTCTTTGTGGCCCTAAGCTGGGATGTGGGGGATGGGTACCACTGATAAGCTCTGACCAATTCCCTATTTGTGGACTCTGAAGCTCCCTTGCTTGACAACTGATGAATAAGTTTTCTTTTGTGGAGTAAGAATAGGTGACCTTTTCCCCTTGAATTCCCATCCTGGGACTGGGGAACAGAGTCCAGGATCTCTTGTCTTTGCATTTGCACCGTGGGAAAGAGCACCTAGAGTTAAAAGCCTGATAAATGTCCTCAAAAGCTTTGAGAATCACTCAGCGTGAGCACTTGCCCCTGAACAAATGTCCATGTTGTGTTGCAGCAGGAATGCCACTGGGGTCTGTGGCCAAGTCACAGGCATAGAGGTGATGCTCTTTGTAAATAGATTCGTGCCACTTGTCTCCTGGCTGGAAACACTTTCAAAAGAACAATCTGCTGAAGTCAGTTTCCTAGGAGAATCCATCACACATTTCCCCCAGAGGTATTCCCACCATTGCAAACCATTAGATAAACTTAAAAGAGCAAATTAGTCCTCCTGGTAGGCCTCTCCCACCCCTGTCTCCAGTTTAACATTTCAGTCATTCTATTTTCTCAGCAGATTTGAAGCCAAGCTCTCAGATCAGAACTCTCCATCCAAAAGCCTGATGTATAATACATAAAAACAATCAGCTAACAACTGGTTTTGTCAATTTCTCCTGTCTGATATCTGCTGCCTAGTGAATGAGCAGGAAGGGTTAGTGTTAGGGTAACTGCATGAGGAGTAAGCCTTGAAAAGAAAAGAATGAGAAGAGCAGAAAAATCAGAACTGTCCCAGAAGGTGAGTGTCAGTCAAGGGTTTCAAAACCCCTCAAAAAACTCTTTCAGCTCTGTCTTGATTTTGTCTGTCTCTCCTTTTTTTACACACCTGCCACCCAAGAAGCTATGAACAGTACCTATCTACTAACAAATCAAATGCCGATAACTGTAGGAGAGTCTATTCCCCTTCAGAATCAGAACAAAGCCCATTTTAAAGTATTTTTTGAAAAGTTTTAGGTTTACAGCAAAATTAAGAGGAAGGTATAGAGATTTCCCACATGCCCCTTACCTCCACAACTTGCATAGCCTTCCCCCTTATCAACATTGCCACTGTTAGCACAGATGAACCCACACTGACACATCACTACCATCCACAGTCCATGGTTCACTCTTGATATTACATATTCTTTGGTCTGGACAGATATATAATATCATTCGTCTACCACTATTGAATCATTAGATAAACTTAAAAGAGTTTTCACAGTCGAAACCCAATGTTGATTTATTTGGCTTGTGCTATGGTTTGCATGTGGTTTGAGTATGTCCTCCAAGGGTTCCTGTACTAGATGCTTGGGCTTCACTGAGGCAGTGTTGAGAAATGGTATGACCTTTCAGGGATGTGGCCTAGTGGGAGGGGGGAGGGTAATTAAGTCATTGGGGGCACCACTCTTGGAAGAGATTGATACAGTTTTCAAGTACCTTACTTGATTCTCAGTTCTCAGTGGCTTCTTATATAGTGAGACCACCAATGCACTTGGCCCTCTGCTTCTCCACCATGTTGCGGTCAAGGGACCCTCAGTAGAAACTGAACAGATGAAGTCATCAAATTCTGGACTTTCTGCCTCCAAAACTGTGAACAAAATAAACCTCTTTTCTTTATAACATATCCAGCCTCAGATATTTTGTTATATTAGTAGAAAACAGACTAAGACAGTATCCAATAAACCAAATGAAGCATCCCAACAGCACAGTAGGGAAAGAAAAGCACAGATTCAAAAAAAATGAAAAAGGAAGGAAGGAAGGCCTGCAGGCAAACACAGACTCTGGAGGCAGGCAAACCAGAATTCATATTTTGCCTTTACCACTCAAACCACAGTGTGGTCAAGGAAGGTTACCTTCTGAATACTTTCATTTTCTCTTTGGAAAACTAGGGTGAGTATACTTATCTCATAGGACTCAGTTATGAATAAGATGGGGGGAAATGACCAAAATTAACACACTTTGTACAATGTCATAGTAAGGAGCAGTGAGTTTCCTGCATTCTTATATATACAGCCATAATTGGGATCCTATCATGAACTTGTTCTGACATTTTGATGTGGCTTGGTTTTCTTATTTATGATAAATTGGAAAAAATGCCAATAGTCAACCCAGTTACCCATCATAATTGTAATAGTTAAGCACCAAATACCAAGACAATACATCAAATTATAAAGACAAGTATTTCACATAAAACTGAAGGAGAAAAAGACTGGAAATAGATGACATATATTCACAACTTTAGCTGCATTCTGTGAGAAAAAGGAAATTTATTGTATCTTAATATGTTTTAATATGATTCTTCAAGAAGTTTGCATAATAACAATATTTGACAGTCAGAGGAACTTTTCCTGTAGTAGACACTGAAAAATGATTGTCATCTTGCAGATCTTTTCATTTAAACACACATGAGCTTCTCCAACACTTTGTACAATATATGGTGTAATAATCACACTTTCATGTAATTCTGTAGATGTTCATGGTATGGTACAATTAACATTATTATATGCAACTGGTTATAATTCACCAAAAAAATGCTACTTATTGTACTCCGCAGAGTGTTGTGAATGTTTTTACTTGTGTTTCAATGTTTTGGTATAGAAGAATAACTTTAGCCTCCTCTCAGCTATTAGCGAGTAGCCATTTTGGTGCCTTCTTTCTCATCTGTCATAATCTGGTGACCTGAGTGTTCAAAAAACAAATTTGGAGGTGGACATATGGCCCCGTAGTGAAGACTCTTATTAAAACAACCCTGGACCTATGTTAGAGTTCCTGGGTTCAATACACAGCTCCACTCCTGATTCTAGCTTCCTGCTAATATGGGTCCTGAGAGGCAGCAGATGATGGGTTAAGTTGTTGGGTTCCTGCCACCCACATGAAATGAAAAATCCTGGCTCCCAACTTCAGCCCAGTCTAGTCCTGGCTGCTGCAAGCATTTGGGAAGTGAATCAGAAGATGGGAGGTCTTTCTTTCTCTCCCTGTCTCTCTAATCTCAAATAAATAAATTTAATTGATTTGTTTTTGGAATAAGTAAAACAAAAACAATGTTGTCAACCATAGTTATCCTACTGTGGAACACTTGTATTCAAAGGCTATTTGAGGATTACCTGAGGTAAGTAAAATGGTAACCACCCAAGAAGTTAGAAGGGAAGAAAATAAGAATCCTGTCAACCTATATGTGCTGGGCTGTAACTGGCTATGCAATCTTAAAGTGCGTTAGAAGAAACTTAAAAGGCTAAGTCTAGAAGTTGTTCACTAGTGGGCCAAGGCAGCTAGTAATAAAAGTCAAACTTACCATGCTTCTTGGGTCCAGTACTTCTCAAAGACAGGTCCTCAGTCCATCTAGGGAAGAGGGAGTGGTAATAACTATTGAGAAAACAGACTCTCAGACTCCATCCCAGAACTCCTGAATATAATATGTGAAAATGATCCTGAAATTAACATTTTTCACAAAAAATGCATTTTCAAAAATTCAGAATGTGAAAACAGACTTTAAAGGTGAAAATAATAAACAGACAAAATACATTCACCATTGAAAGACAAAATCAAAAATGTACTGATAGGAAGCAGAAAAAACAGAAAAGCCAGTCCATTTCCTCATGTTCTGATGTCATTAAGAAAGCACCCATGTGACTCATTCCCAATTCAACTGCCTCTGGAGAAGCTTATTCAAAAATTACCCTAGAGTGAGCATCTGGCCTAGCAGTTAAGTTGCCATGCCCCACAGTGGAAGGCCTGGGTTAGACACCTGCTCTATTCTTCTAACTTCCTGCTGATGCAGATCCCAGGAGGCAGCAGTGATGGTTCAAATGGTTGGGTTCCTGCCACCCACACTGAGGACCTGGATATAGTTCCCAGCTCTTGGCTTCAACCTCCAGGTCAGGACCATTTGGAGAGTGAGCCAGTAGATGGGATCTCTCTCTCTCTCTCTCTCTCTCTCTCTCTCTCATATAAGTAAATATTAAAAGTTGAGAAAAAAATTACCTCGCTCTTCTTAAATTAGTTTCACAGGTAAGTAAATTTGAAAAATAAGAGTGGAAACAGGGAATATTTGTTTTCCCTAATATATACTAAACACTCAATATTAAATTTTTCTTAAGATTTGAAGGCCTTCAGAGAAAGGCCTTAGTAGAAAAATATACTGTTTTGTTGGATGTGAATGCATCTTTCGAGAAAACCAACTGAGTTGCACTTCTCCCTCTCTCTGTAACTCTGACCTTCAAATAAAATCTTAAAAAAAAAAAAGAAACAGGATTGAATCCCCAATGCCTACTGAAAAAAGGCCCAAGTTCTTATTTTAACATATAGCACCCCAACCTGCCATTCTAGTCTGGTTTTCATAATTTTCCTTAATGCATATATGGAAGATCAAGGAGCAAGTAAAGAAGTAACCAGAAGACTAAGAATCAATTAAAAAGCCATGAATGGTCTGTGAGACCCAATGTCAGCAGAGCAGTAGAATGAGTCACAATGGGTATGAAACAACCGAGGCATAAAGAGGAGCCAAAGACACAGTTGAAGTACCAAGTAATTCGTTAGGGAAATCAGACAATAAAAAGAATATAAACAATACGGCAGCATTCTGGGGGAGTTAGGAGTGACAAGGAGCAGCTTTGTGGTGGCGGTAGCAGAAGATGGTGGTAGTGTTAAGTGTTGGTAGTAGGTGAGATCAGTAGAGAGAAGATGAATCCTCAGATTCCCCCATCCAAAATTACAGCAGAAAAGAAAGGCACTCATTCACAACTGGGGAAAAAAGAGGAACAAGTCCAGGGCCTTTACCAAGCCAGAATTCTACAGTCAAATCTTGAAAACATTAATGAGAACCTTGGCTTTGAGTAGAAATTTCATTTCCGTATATTTTAGGAAATGAGAGGGCAAAATTAATTAAATATAAATTTACTTATTTATACATTTGTCTATTCCTCAACTTGTCCCACAAGGAATCTAAGACAGCCACAAAGCAGTATGTGCTGGATAAAAGCCACTACATCCTGGAATATGAGCTAAACTCCCTTGGCCCCCACTTCTATAAGATTGAAGCAAATAGATCATAAACAAAGAGCTCAAAGGGCCAAGCTCTTAAACAGAAGGAAATAAAACCATGAAGGGCCATGATGAGAAGGGGAAGGTACTCCAGGTGTACCTGAGTGCTGAATTCATTCCGACCACATCAAAAGCAACAGCATGGCCCCTAATTCCAATTGCTGAAACATTTTAACAGCTGGGAATTAAAATAAGCTGTCAGCCAGCTCAAAAAGATTTTTTAATTCAAAATAAATCAGGCTAACAACCTGCAGATGTTTGGAAAGAAAATGTTTGGGTGACTCATTTTCAAAACCCAATTCCGTAACTTTGCCATTTTAGAGTTTCTGAATGACAGCTACCTGCCCTTTGCTTCTAATCAACTGAGAAACTGTTACATTGGCATTGTAGACTTGACATTGGTTTAATATGCTGATAAACAATCATGAATTCCATCTGTTAAATGAAACTAAAACTGGGAGTCAAGAGCACAAAATTGGTCAGGTAGTCTGTGGTTTCTCCAGGGATCCATCACTCTCTGGTAGTAGGAGGAGATTATCAGTTCCACCCAAAATTCTTTGTTCTTGGGCTTCCATTAATATTTTTACCACATTCTCAGAATAAGTAGAGATCATCTCAATTATAAGTTTAACAATAGAATAGACAAAAGGGGGAAGAAGAAGCTGCAAGAAAAATGAGTAATATCTCACTCTAAAGATTAATGGCAAAATACTACTTAGCACCTCAGAATCTACCAGGGCTAGTGAATATCCTGCCCATGGGCCGTAGAAGGCTGCCAAACTTAGCTGGTCTGACCCACAGAGGCAACTGCAGGTAGGACTCAAAATTCAATGAATCTACAGCAGGCTAATTTTTAATTGATAAGTGTGGATGGTCCACAAATGATATTATAGATATCCAAGTGGCCCTTGGCAGTAAAAAAGAGTCTCTACCCTTACAAGGACAACATGGCAGGTGCATACATCAGTGGGCCATCAATGGGGGAAGAAGGAATAAATCTTCAGGCTCTCCAAATGAGAACTGGCTAGGTCAGTTAGGAACTCGGTTCTTTCTCTGGTGAATATGAAACAGACCACAACAATAATTTAGCACTAAATCTGGATCTAAAATCTGGGGAGCTGTTGGTTGATCAAAGTGTTGAGGCAGAGGCATAAGATTGCTGCCAGTGGGATTTGAGCCTTCTCATTCATTCTCACATTTTTACACTCTCCTCCCACCCCGCCCCCGCCACACACACACACACACACACACACACACAGAAGGCCTTCTCTCCTCTTTATTTTCCCCTAGCCTCATATTACTGATGCTGGAAACTCACCTGTGATCCGATTCTGTTTTTTTTATGAATCCATAGGCCTCCGCACAATCCCTCCAGAGGGTCTCACATAGCAAATTACAACAGAAATCTGCCAACAAGTCTGTCTCCACCTCTTGTGTTTGAAAGCAAAAGTCATGTCTTGACATCTTCGTATCTTCATCACCTATATAGGATCTTACATACAATAATCAATTAATTACCACTGCTAAACCATTCAATTAGGTTCATATAGTTGAAAATTAAAAGGATAAAAACTCCTTTTCAAACACAGAAGTTCCCCCAAAATGTTCTTGAGATATGAAGTCAGTTTTCCAAAATCTTGATGACCTTTCTTCAGTCAAAATGACCTATAAGACCAGAAGCCAAAACAATAATAGGTCTTTGACTAAAGGTTACTTGATCAAACTGAGAAGGAAAATTTTTCAGAAATATAATACATTTATTTCTATCTTTGAAGCCTCCTCACATCTCACTAATAGAGCAAAAGAAAATATCTCTCCCTTCCTCCGAATCCCTTTGACCCAGAATCAGACACTATCAAAAAGTGTAAAGCCATTGAAGCTTAACTATAACAGAACAAAAGGCCAGAATGAATGATGTGTTCAACAGTGATCCCATTTGCTTTACTCACCACACAAACATGATGGAAAGATGCAAAGAGTCACTACATAAAGCTGAGGACCATCTCACTGCAGTCAACATCCTTGATAAATGAAAATCACTTGACTACCAAGACTGCTTTCCTTTACGGCAAGGATCAACAGCCAAGAGGACATCCAGTGACCTTGGTTTTCTCCTACATTATAGAAAATAGACTTTCTCTAGCCATAATTACATCAAATCTAATTTGTCAGAATCAAGTACCTTTGGACATGGCTGTAACTACCAACTAGTTAGCACTACCCTGAACAAGTCATATCATTTAGTCCATCAACAAATATCACCCAAATTCTCATTGCGCTATGCAACAGGCTGGAAATGCAATGAAGAGGTGGATAGACATGGTCACTACTCTCACAGAGCTTAATCTGGCTCTCCTCATTATAGAACCCCTTTCTTGGCAAACTCAGGCTCCAGATACAAAGAATTATATTTTGTAATATATGTCAGGTGTCAAACATGGCACCTGGTAAATAACACAGGCTCATTAAATGGAAGCTGTTGCTATGACAACTAAAAAAAGAGGTAATGTCTATAGTCTATGGACTATACAATATAATACAATTATTGCTGCTGTCATTTCTATTATAGAGAATTTTTAGAACAAATTGTTATGATAAAATAAGTGTACCTCCATTCATTAAAATTCAGAATTTTATACTCATCTAAGTTCCAACTGCAGCTGTTCTGGTAGCTTGTATATACTTTATACCCTAGAAAATGTTTCTAAGTAGTTTCATCTTACACTACTCCCCCATAAGTGCCCTATACCTCTAGCTGAATCAAATGGATTGAATTTGCCTGATATTGACCAGCTCAGCCATCCTGGACCCAACAGGATCAAGCAGACTTGAGTTGGGTGGCACCATTTACAACCATATATCATTCATTGACAGTGTGAGTCAAGAGACTGGCATTGTGCTGTAGCAGGTTAAGCCTCCACCTGCGGTGCCAGCATCTCATATGGGTGCTGCTTTGAGTCCTGGCTGCTTCACTTCTGATCCGTCTCCCTGCTAATGGCCTGGGAATGTAGCAAAGAATGACCCAAGTGCTTGGGCCCTGTACCCATTTGGGAGACCTGGAAGAAGCTCCTTGCTCTTGGCTTCAATCCAGCCCATACCTGGCCATTGCAACCCTTTGGGGAGTGAACCGGCAGATGGAAGACTTTTCTCTCAGTCTCTCCCTCTATCTCACTGTAATTCTGCCTTTCAAGTAAATTTCTTTAAAAAAAAAAAAAAGTGTGAGTAATGTTCTGGCATACCTTTCTATCCCTGATAGCTTCTTGCTTGGTTCCTGGGATGTAGTATACTTATTGTTTAAGTGTTCATTATTTTTAAAATAATGATTAAATAGATGAACAGGAGGGAAAAAACAAAATGATTAAATAGATGAACAGGAGGGAAAAAACAGAATGTCCTAATCATCTTCTCATTTGAAAACTAAATCACACTCCTAGTGATATTTATTCATCAAGAATTCAACAAGCATTTAATAAAATACACAATTAACTATTGTGTGCACATCATTGTGATGGCCTATAAATGACATAAAAATGACATAGACGCTGTATACACAGCGTATTTTGAAGGCTATCAAAAATTTTGGAGATTGTATTACTCTACCCTATCATCTTTCAACTTATGAAACTGAAATGCATGAAGTTTATCTTACTCAAAAAATAATGACAGGGGTTGGTTTTTGTCACAGATGTTAACATGCTACTTGAAATGCCCTACCTCCTATACCAGAGTTCCTGGTTAGAGTTCTGACTCTATTTCTAATTCCTGCTACCTGGTAATGTTCACCTTGAGGTACAAGCACTCGAGTTCCTGCTACCCACATGGAAGACCTGGATAGAGTTCCAGTTTCCTGCCTTTGGCCTGGCCCAGCCCTAGCTGTTGCAGGCAATTAGGAAGTGAACCACCTGATGGAAGATCTCTGTCTCTGGCTCTCTCTGCTTCTCTGCTTTTCAAATCAATAAAAAGTAAATTAATTTTAAAAAATTACAACTAACACATATTGTACTCTTACCATGTGCCAAATAGTTTACATGTACTAAGTCCTTTAGTTCTCAACATCACACAGTGAAGGGCTATTGTTATCCTTATTTCACAGATAAGAAAACTTAGCACTGCAGTGATAAAGTAATTTGCCCAAGATGAAGTCAAGCCAAAGAAGGAAACTGCAAGTCTCCCATCCAATTCTTATGCTACCTCACCGCAATGAGTAAACAACTGAAATGATCCAAAAGCAACGCATGAGCAGAATTCCAAGCAGAAACACTGTCAACCTGGTATCTGTCAACACAGTCAAGAGCTACCTCAGCAATGACAGGGATTGTCACTTTCTGCAGCCCAGCAGAGGCAGGTGGATTCAAGCTGCACAGTAGCTTGTGACTTCTCATTTCTCATGGCTTATTCAATGCTATCCTGGCTCCTTTAACAAGAGAATAAAAGGTTGATTTTCTCTCTCTCTGCTCCTACCTCTGTGTCTGGGGCACAACCCGAGAGGCAGAAAGATGTGTGGGATTTTAGATTCAAAACCACAGGCCATCCCTCAAGCCACATAGTCACTCACCGGAGCAGACACCTCTGAGTCCATTGTCAATTACTGACAATGTAATTGTCCCTGAACCCCAACTGCAAAGCATCAGACAGGAAATCACTTGCCTCTACAAATCACTTCTGCCACCTAGTGTGAAGAGACCTAGACAGATGATCTAGGTTGACAGAAGAAATCAAATTTAACCCCAAAGTGCAAAATATTTTTAAATGCATGTCAATTACTTTCCCTGGACTATTTTGTAAGCTGTGAAACAAGTGAACATTCAGAGATCAGATGAAAAATAATTAAGGTCATGTTATGAACGAGCCAAAGACTTTTCGACAAAGGAATGTACCATGAGCCTAAGTTCCAAGATATGCCACATTTACTTTAAGATCAAAATCACATGTGCAAACTACAATAATTTCACATCAGCAGGGACCAATCCAATGAGATTTTATCTGTATCTACTGTGAAATTGTTTCTCTGAAGAAACCACAGTGCAGAAGTATATTTGAGAGATGAGAAAAATCTCTGTTTACTTTGTTGTTATCAGTGTCATCCTCGTGAAAAAGGGCTCTGTTTCATGTAGGATAATGTTTTCCAAAATTTCCGTCTGTTAGACACAGTAGGTTTCATACAGTTGTCCCTGTATCACCTCTCAGTGCAGACTGGAGGCATAACACCATGGTGAAATTCAAAAAAAAGCTATCTACGTAAGAGACCAAGATATTGGACATCCACAGCTTTCCAGGGGGTGTGGCTTTACTCAAAAAGAAAGTAACATAAGGGCAATCTGCTTCTCCATAAGAACTATTTCTCAGGGCCAACATTGTGGCATAGCAGATTATGCTGGCATCCCATATGGACATTGGTTCAATTCCCTGCTGTTCTACTTCTGATCCGGCTTCCTGCTGATGAGCCTAGGAAGGAAGCAGAGGATGGTCCAAGTACTTGGGCCCTTGCACACATAGGATACCTGGAGGAAGTTCCAGGCTCCTGACTTCAGTTGGCCCAGCTCTGGCTGTTGCAGCCATTTGGCAAGTAAAGCAGCAGATGGAGGATATTTATCTATCTATCTATCTCTGTCTCTAGCTCTAGCTCTCACTTCCCCCCTCCAGCCCATACCTCTTACTTTCAAATAAACAAACCTTTAAAAACAAAAGCAAAAAAACTTTCTCACAACATGGAAAAGCAGTAGACAAAAGAGTTCAAGTCTGAAACTCTTGGAAATACCTTGGAGTGAAAATATTCTATGATTTCAACGAATACAATACTCATTTGCATCAACAAACAACCAGAAAAGTGGTAAGGTGGATGTTCGCTAATGGAAATTTAAAAAGGTCAAACAAGCACTGTACCAGAGCAATTGAACCAAACAAACAAACAAATAAACCATCTAGGGTTAGTAGTAAAGTCACTCTTAAATCTGAGTTAAAATGCAAAAGCTAAATTCAGAGTTAAAACTGTAACACTTGGGGTCGGCGCTGTGGTATAGTGGGTAAAGCAGTCGCCTGTATTGCCAGCATCCTATATGGGTGCCAGTTCTAGTCCCGGCTGCTCCACTTCCAATTCAGCTCTCTGCTATGGCCTGGGAAAGCCGTAGAAGATGGCCCATGTCCTTAGGCCCCTGCACCCGTGTAGGAGACCCATAAGAAGCTCCTGGTTCCTGGCTTTGGATTGGCCCAGCTCTGGCCATTGTGGCCATCTGGGGAATGAACCAGCAGATGGAAGACTTTCTGTCTGCCTCTCTCTCTCTCTCTCTCTCTCTCTCTCTCTCTGCCTCTGCCTCTCTAATTCTGCCTTTCAAATAAATAAATAAATCTTTAAAAAAAATTATAACACTTACCCACAGCCCAGCACCCACCCACCAGATGCACACAGCACTCATATACAAGTAGAATACACTGTAATCTTATTCTCAAATTATCTAGGGTAGTAAATACAGACTTTTGGAGAGAACTTTGGGA